TAGTTCTTTTTCTCTTTGTTTATTGTCTAGCCTCCTTCATGTAGTCCTTTTCCATTGGTTTGAGTTGACAATTGTTATACCTGCAAAAAGACAAATAAACTCGGAATAATCGGGAGTTAGACGACTTAATGTATTATAAAATCGGTAAAAAGCATAGTAATTATATGATACGATTTCTCGTTATCAGCAACTTCACACGATTTCCCTCCAAACTTCATCATTTCACACGCTTGAACATTCCATCTGATTCCCTATAAATTGAGGGTCATTCCCCATTCATTTCCTTAAGCTTGGATATCCAGAATCACCCTACCAAACTTGTTCCATAACTCAAAATTCTGCTACTTCGAAATCTGCTTTCAAGCCTTTTTCAATCCAATTTTTCCATCAATTCACCTTCCTTGATCTTCCCCGAAGCTAACCATATAATTACTTTCAAGAATCGTGCCTTAGATTGCTCCATAGAAGTCCAGTTTCAGAGCTCTGCAACTCAACTTTAATAGGTAGATTCCTTTATCAATTCTTCAAAACTTTGATATCATTGTGAATCTCTCATTGCCCTGTTTCTAGTCCCAACACTTACTTTCATCTAGAAACTTATTTTGACCATGAAATTTCAAATCCCTTTTCAAAACTTTCCTTCCAATTTGCTTGAGCTACAGTTTATATAAATTTGTCGCGAAGCTGTGGTTGTCTTTGTCTTGAAGAGACGAAGCGAATGGCATAGGCCCGAGCTTCTGATTTTATAGTTTGAGATACTTGCAATTCACGTTGGCTGGAGGTTGAAGATGACCAACATGTCATCTTCCAACCAATGATGGCACACCACTTTGTTTTTTTGAAATCTAATTTAATTAATGATTCAATGCATTATCCACTAAAGTCCATAACATGCACAGCGTGCCAGGTCCACTTGATCTATTTACTAATGCGTTTTGACATTGATCAGATGTCCCATATTTTTTTGGTTTTTAATTTCTTTTCTGATTTTTATATTTAATTGTTTTAAATTTCAAAAAATCATAGAAAATTCATTTTTAGTCCAAAAAATTATGAAAAATATTTTTGATTTTTCTCTTTCTGATTTTTATTTTTTCATAATTTTATTTCGTGTTTTGATATTTTTTTATAAATTTTCACTTTATTTGATTTGTTTTAAATGTTTAAAAATACTTTTATGAATTTTTAAATTCTGAAAAAAAATGGAATGATCCAATGATATTGTGACAAATATTGGTAACCTTGCTTACTTTTTATTTTTGACTTTGGTATTTTTTATCATTTTGGTTTATTTTAATCATTTATTTTAATTTTAAAATTAGTTTCTGACTTTAAAAAATTACCAAAAAATTTATAAAAGTATTTGAGTCCATTTCTAATTTTTCTATGGTCTTACTTTTTATTTCTTGATTAATTTGAACATAGTTGATATTTCTATCCCTTATTTCTATTTTAAATATTTCTAAAACTTTTTTTAATGTATATATTAAAATGCAATATTATTTTGTGATTATTTACTAGCTAATCTTGGGTTGAATTTTTGACCATGAACTTTATTAACATCATTGGATCCTTGGTGTCGAGTTTAACTCCACAAAAATGGATGAATGATTTTAATAACAATTTGATTAAATTTTAATTTAAATGTGGTTTGTATATTCTTTCCCACCCCTCTTCATCTCATCCCTTTCTTATTGCACTAAGTGTTATTGGAGCATGATCTCTATATCATGTCTCAAAAAAAATGGTGCATAGATTGCTATTGACCGGCCTCAAAATAGGTGCGACTTCTACATAAGTCCACTTACGATTGCTTAATTCAGCGCTAAATTTTGTCCCGATTCGAATAAATAATCATTCATGGCCCAAACATATGTTTGCAAGCCCAAGTATGTTAATTTGATCTCTTTGATCCAATAACCTTGAGTTTCATTGTGTGGAGTCTTTGGTTCTACCAATCCTCTAATGGATCTACAACACTTTTGGTCAACGCGGATCACTTAAACATCGTTGATCATTAAATGGTACTTTTGAGGATTCCAAATGGATGATATACTTGACAAAAATCAAATGCAACTTGTTGTGTGGAGGCTTTGGATGATATACTTTAAGCATTACATTTCATGTCATTTTTATTTTGCTCATTTGAGCTATTCTTTTCTCTTCTAAGACACTTAATAATCAACATGAACCATAAAAAAACTTTAATGATATTTGGACTGTTTGGTTAATATCCTTGGCATTATGGAGTATTGGACTTTTTGGACTTAGGATTAGAGACCTTGGCCTATGATGGAGACCTTATGACCTTAATTGATATTTTGTCTAGAGTTCTTGAGTTTTACCTCAAGACATTGGGTTGTTTGTTTTTTTTGTGTGCAGGTTATTTTGATTACATACTTTGTTTGTAGTCTGGAATTCACCCGTATACAGCCGTTACTCTGCCCAATTTTTTATGAAGACTTAATACAATTAAAGATTGGTTCTCTCAAGAGGTCTATTATCTTTGCTTGCTTGGTTTCAATCCAAAGAATAAGAATTCTATCTTGACTCATAATGTCAAGTATTGGCTTCTTGTTGGTTAGATGGTTCTTATCCGTAGCTTTTATCTTATGCTTTAGGATAGTCTCTTCTTCTCCTCCCATCTTCTTTAATTTCAAAAATCTTCTCTCTACTTTTGAAAATTATTCTTGTTTTTAAACTTGAATCACTTTCATAATAAACTTGGACTTAGGTCCATGCATTTTTAAAACCTTTTCATAAATAAACTTCAATCAACTTAATAATGCTTTGACATTTTTTTGGGAAGACTAAAAGTCAATCAATCTCATTTAAAACCATTTTTTCCACTTTGGCTTTTACTTTAAACTTTTCTCAAAAGATTAGACTCTTGTCAATCCTTGTAGTGATGCAAACAACTATACTTCTACAATATATAGTGAAGTGAGATATTTTCCACTTGGGTGTTGAGTGAGGCATTGTTGATTTTAAAATCTAAGCCATATCCTCCACTTTGAGATGATGCAAATTCTCCTTCCTCATAATTGTGGGTAGTAAGTATGTTTTCCACACAGACAATGACCATGATGTCTTATCTCATAAAAATTAACTAACACACTTATTTTTTTAAATTTTCAAAGAGGAACTACGTGTACCTTGATCCCCTATTGCACAGAAGGTGGTACGTAGGCACTAAAGATTCGCAATCGCGACGGGTGCAAAAATCATAAAAAAAATATATACTTCTTTTCTCACCTCCACCATCTATTTTTATACAACATTTTTATAGCCAAAATATACAGATTTTACAAAGAGGTTCATGCGGAGTATCGTAGATGTTTAGGGTGCTTATACCTTCCCTTTACATAACCAACCCCCTTACCTTGAATCTTTCCCCCTCTTTTTTGGGTTATTCGCTCTTTTCCCATTCCTTTGGAACCAATAAAGCGCGGTCGCAATTTTTATTTTTTGATTTGTATAAGTCTAGTTAATCCAATGGCTTAGTCTTAAACATTTCTACCACTACACCCCCAAGGACCAACGGGACCATATCTTCTCTCAGCAGTACTTCTTCCCCTCAGTCGGGGATATATGATTGGTTGTCCCTCCTGGACCAACAAGACCATATCTGCCCGCTCAAACAAGCTAGTTCTCGTCCTGCCAATCACACGAGGACAACCACCCAAGAATGTCCAGAATCATCTTTTCCCGTGAGCACCTCTATGCTCGTCATAACGACTAACTTCCTCCCCAGTCTACTCAACATACATTGAGCAGACACCCAGGAAGCGCTCACAACGTGTCTGCCCATCATCTCACCCTTGCTCGGTGCAAGGGCCAGTTACGGGCACCTCTCAGTCTTCCCGACCTCAATTCGGCCAGACAACCAGTAACAAACCAGACAACTGCCTGTAACCCACCTCCTCCTCAGAACTAACGGATAGTTGCAGGCACATTTTAGTCGGTTTGATCGAGTCTTGGCAGTTACCTATTTTTACGGACCTACATATCTAGACCCAAAATCAGGGACCAATGGCGAAACGTCAGGGGAATTATATAAACCCTTACACATGTCAGGGTCAGGTATTCAATGTTCATCACATACTTCTAAAACCCTAGACTTTCTATCTTGTATCTCTTTGTACTCCTATTGATTTTAGCATCGGAGTGCCTTGCAGGTCACCCCTTCCTCCTTCATTCCAGCATTGAAGTCGAAGTCTCTGGCCTACTTTAGGTTCTGGTCAACCGATAAGATTAGGTCATAACCCTAGTGACGCCAAAATTTCTCATTATATGGAGTGCCAAGAGCGGCAAGATGTTGTGTCCTGCACCAATATCGGTGATCATCAGCTTTGTGCCTAGTAAAAGTCTTGGAAACCTTCATTAGGGATCTTCTTCAACCTTTCCTTTATATCTTGTTCTTCGCTGAATGATGCTTTGGATCACGAATTAATCTCCATTCGTCCCCAAGTACCTTGGTTCAACTCTTTCACTTATGACTAGAGAGATTTTATGGAGCATTTTGTATTAACAAAGCCCTTCACTTCCAAGGCGCATATGTTCTTCTGTTTGTCTTCGGCTCCAGTGGGAAGTGTTTGTTCTTGCAGTGGTGGTTTTCATAAATATTGGTATAAAGTTCATTCCTACCCGCCAATTGCTTCTTATCACTTTGGGAAAACTTCTCTGTCTCCCAAGAAGTGAAAATGAAATAGGATTTACATGTATGGTATCAAGGACTCATATGTGAAGAAGGGTTTGGTCTCACTGAAGTACTTTCTTTTTAGCAAAAGAAGAGACAAATAGATAATGACGCGATCATTAGATAATCTGAACATTCCTACAGACAAAAACTCTTTGATAAGGATAGGGATCTATAAATCTTTTTTTTTTAAAACCAGCCACTTGTCATAGATAACATGAATCAGTTGAGTCAATTACAAAAAGATTTGGCGCTCACAAGTGATCAGAAACTTACTAATGGCTTGTTTGTCCCGGTGTAGATGCCACCTATCGTTGCTTCTACTTTTGTTCAGGAGGATCATATTCCTGCTATGGTGATTTCCCTAGAGGTAGTAGAAACTATTGTCCCGATTCTGACTTCTAAAATGGGTCAGCCAACTACTATCGTGAGTGATTTATTTGCTCGGAGACCTTCACTTTCTCCATCCCCTTCCAGAAGGGGTCGGGTGATAGTTTGTACACTCTTGTTGAAGGAGGTTCTTCCAAATGGGCTCGCTTGGAGAATGGTGGCGAGTAGGATGCTCTGACTCATTTCTTCTGGATTACTGTTATTTTTTCTTCCCGAGTACCTAGTACCCCATATGAGTTTATTGTTGTTGTGGTTGTTGAACACATGCATTTTTTCTGAAGTTTGTTTGCGATTGACAGACAGAGCCTTTTTGAAGATGTTTCCCATATTTTGTTCAGGTTTGGGTCCCTTGTTTCTATTATAGCTGCTGGCCTGGATAACATTTTAGGCTTTGGAGAGCTTTCAAAGGAGGGAGATGATTTGAGGATGATGTGTGAAGTCCTTGAGAAACAAAATTCCAATGTTGAGTAGGAATTGGCTGAGCTTCAAGAAAATGTTGATGCTCTTAGCTCTTTGCAAAAAGAGGTGGATTGATATGGTTGACCATCCATTTTGGTTGCTCATATAGAGAAGTTGAAGGCTTCCCTTGCTGATGGAAAAAATGAAATATGAGGGTTTCTAAAGATGTGGCTGAAGCATGTCGGGTGTTCAAAATGAATCAAAATATTCTTCAGCAAAGGAATGATGATTGGGCCAGTGCCTTGAAGAGTCTCGAAGATGAGGAGTTGTTGTTCGACAAAAATCTTGGCAACTCCTTGAGCAGGTAGTAAAGGCTTTATGTACGGTCTAGGATGAGATGTTGGAGAAGGTTCATATGTCCTGTCCCAGCCTTGCTATCACCGCTGACAAGCTAGACCCTTTAGCTGATTCTTTTAAGAAGTATACCGGAGGCGGTCTTGGGTATGAGGAGCCCAATGCTGATGTTTGAGCGCCATTTTGTTCTTTATATTTTTATTTTCTTTTGTAATATTTAATCAGGCCTTTTTGCCTCGATTTATAAACAATACATTTATATATGTATTTCAGTTATTACATTTGCATGCTTGTTCTTTTTGGTATCATATTTCTCTTTTTTCAACCTTCATCATTGTCCGGATGGGATCTAAGGAAAATTAGGATCCAAGGATAGCTAAGGATTGCTTTAGAATCCTACAATTGGAATAATTTATTTTTGTAAAAAGCAATTAATTAGTAGTTACTTAAGGTGTAAAGGACCTTAAGTCTTTTGCGGAGTCGTGTATGGTTGTTACACTCAAAAGCGTGTTGCATTAAGATGTACAAGATGTCTCAATATAATGTTGAGGTAGTAGTGCATGGTCTGAAGGGTGAGAAAAACACAAGAAAAGGGGGGAGGGGGTTGAATTGGGTTTTCTAACAAACTTTTTCTCAAAAAAGATTTTGCAAACTAACTAGAAATAATAAAGCTAGGGAAAGGATAAAATAACTCTTTTGGTTTATACAAGTTCACATTCAACAAGGCTACTCTTGTCCACCCGCCAAGGTGATTTTGCCTTCAACAAGAACTTAATCCACTAATCTCAATATATTACAAATGCACGGCCTACCTACTGGTGACTAACCACAACCGTCTAAGAGTCCAAACTAACACCTTAGCCATCTCAAGTATCAGACTAACAACCTAGTCACTTGAGGCAATAATCAATGCTTAACAGAATTATAATCAATGTGTTTACAATGTTTGCTTCTAAAAAGCAGCTTAACACAACAATGAAGAACAAAGTCTCTAATATAAATAATGAGCAACAACTCTTTGTATTGATAACTCTAAGATAAAACACAAATAATGAGCAACAACTCTTTGTGTTTAATTCATAATATCCTAACACAATAACAAGCAAAAACTCTTGTGTTCTTGATATTTCTGTAGAAGATTATTTATGGATGTATATGAATAGTGATTCTTCTTTTCTCTTGATGTTTTTGTATTTCATCAATTTGATTCATGCTTGATAGTGTGGAATAGTTAGTCAATCTTCAAATGCTAATGAGGTATCTTTATGTAGGCTTGCGAATAAGACCGTTGATAGTATGAAGACATCATTTTCACTTGCCAGCTATAGTAACAGTAGCATTTCATCATGGGAGATGTAATACGGTGGGAGAACTGACTTTTAGGTTTTGCGTTTTATCGCAACTGTTGCAGATAGAAAGAGTCGCCACCGACTTTTCTTTTATCCAATAAAAGAAATGGTGAAAAGAACAAGAAATACCTTTGAGAATTTTTCTGAGTTCAGGGGGTAGATTATGAAAAGGGAAGGTGTTGGCACCCTTTTCATCCGTAGTTATCTACGGGCTCTTAATCACTAGCTCACTTTTTGAAATGCTTTGTGTTTATCTATGTTTGAAAATATTTTGAAAATGCCTAAGTACGACAATTTTGTAATGATTCTCGTATCGTTGAGAATGTATACAAAATGTTTGTTTTGAAAATCTTTATTGAAAGAAAGTGTTGTTTTTGTGAAAAGTGTTTTTGAAAATGCCAATGTAAGGAAGTTTGCTTTATAATAACCCTTGTATCAGTTCCCAAGATTGTTTATAAATCGCTTTGAAAGTAGTTGTTTTGAAAGTGTGAGGCGTGAAAATTATTTTAGTTTGTGCGCAAGCGATTACGAGCGATCTACCTACTCAAAAGATCTTTGTTCTTTTCCTCCTCCTTTATATAGTGCTACCCTACTGTAATACAGTGGGAGAACTGACTTTACTGGTTTTGCATTTTATCGCAAATGTTGCGGATAGCAAGAGTCGCCACTGACTTTTCTTTTATCCAATAAAGGAAAGGGTGAAAAGAACAGGAAAGACCTTTCGAGAATTTTATGAGTAAGGGGGGTAGGTTATGAAAAGGGAAGGTGTTAGCACCCTTTTCATCCATAGTTATTGTTGTACCCCAAAATTTGCCCTCCCATATTCTTCAAGAAATTGCCAAGTCAAGCTTCAAAATCCCCCCAAGGGTTGCACAGTGTAAGAGCCTCCTGAACAGTCAAAATTAGGGTTTTGGTTCTGATCAAGAAAATGAAGTTTCCAAAGGTCCAATCAAGTCCCACATACCTATAAACATGGTCAAGCATCCTCATACAAAGTTTCAAGACTTTCAGCACAAAATTGCACAGTCAAAACCCTAATTGCACTACAGTCAACTGTAGGGGCAAAATGGTCATTTGGCAGTCAAAAGTTCAAATTTTTGGTCAACATCTCATTTTGAAGCCACAAACATCATTTTATCAATGCTTGATCATGATTCTCAAAGCTTGGCTCAAAAATCATCAAGATGCAAAAGTTTCCTTATTTGGACAGTTGAAAAAGTCAACTGTAAATTGACCAGGGCATAACTTTCACATGGATTATCAGAAAAATTCCATCCAAAGCTCATTTTGAAGAGAAAGACATTTCCTACAACTCCTCTTCATACTTCAAGTCCAAGAAATGCTCTCACAAAAAGTTATCAATTTCAACATTATAGGTCATTTTCAAAAGTCAACAAAAAGGGACTTTAAGTCAAAGGCCATAACTTAAGATTGGTAAATCAAAATGACATGGGACCAAAGGAATTGGTTAGAGGACTCAAAGACCTTTCCAAAATGTCATGGAGCATGAGCAAAGCGTAAAAATTGAGCAAGTTATGCCTTGTGGAAGTTGGGAAATTTTTGGATATTTTGAAAAGTCAACATTGATTTAAATGACCTAAAATTGCTAATGGGCCTCTTTTTCTTCCACAATTCATTATCCAAGGCATGTGCACGACCACTTGGCCCAAAGGGAAGTTTTTCTTCATTATTTATTTATTTATTTGGATTTTTATTATTAATAATTCATTTAAATTAATTAAAATACATGAAAAATACTAAACCTAAGTTTTTCAATCTTTTTATGCATGATATATACTCAATAATTCGTGCATGATCAGATATAGAAGGAATTGAAGTTAATTGGCCATGATTTGTACCAAATAGGCATGAAAAATATTTGAAAAGATCTTGGAAAATCAAATCTTGCAAATCATAAATGCCAAGGTTTTTGGTTGCTTTCTTTGAACTAATTCATTCCATACATAAGCTGGATCAAGACCTAATGCTCATTGACCAAAAAGCTGCGCAAGAACCTGAAGAAAAAACTTGAACTTTTTGCTTGAAAACTCAAAACTGAAAATACACTTGTAGGTCGTTTCAAGCCACAACACTGATTCCATTGCATCCCTGGGACATCAAGCAACGTACCTGGATCAAGAACACCGTCCCTAACCCTTTGAATCATTGTACAGAAGTCAAACTTTTTCACTTTTTTTTCATAATCGTATTTTACAATTTAAGCATATTCATTGCATTTTGTTCATGAATTCTTATTAATTAACTGATTCTGAAGCTAACCATGTAGATGAATTGAGTTTTTATGCACTATACAAGAAATCACCATGGGCGATGTCTAGGGTTTTCAGAACCTTAAATTGGGGTTTCTTGGTGAAGGAAAAATTAGCATTAGAGACCTATATCATTGAAACAAGCGTGATCGGACGATTGTAATGCCACCCTCGCGCTCAATTTATGAGCCCCCCTGAGCTAATCGCTATTTTTGCAAAAGTGACCTTTTGAAACGTTTCAAAACCGTTGCCAATGCTTTGTATGTTTCAGGAAATAAACAAGACCAGGAGGAAGATGATGATGTGTAGAGAGATGATTGGCTGGTTCAAATTTCGCGCGAAAAGCGCCCCACTAACGTTTGTTTATTTTATATTGTTTCTTAGTTATATTATAATCAAAATGCGTTGGATAGCTCAACTGGCAGGCATAAGCGCTGGTGACCCTCAGGACCTGGGTTCGAGCCCCAGGTCCTCATCCTTTCCATATTATTTTTTCACTAACATTCCTATGCAGTTCAAGCCTTGAAGACCACCATGCATCCCTTGATTCAGATTGCCACGCGCCCACAGAGATTGATCCAGTGGCTCTGATCAGAGGAGCACCATGATCGTTGGTCAACACACCTGCACGCTGGCACAAAAGTCCACCAGGCTTTGCAATAGATGGGCCTAAATTGCTAAAGTTTCACCTCAAAACTGGGGACAACACCCCCTAGGTTTGCAAACCTTTTTTTACATTCTTTATTTTTTCATTATTTTTACTTTCTTTAAATTATTTTTTTTTAATTAATTTAATATTTTCATAATATATAAAAAACACCAAAAAATCAGAAAAGATAAAAAATAATAAATATTTTTATTTTAGTATTTTTGTAAATAAATTGCATTAATTAATTGTAGTTATTAAATTATGTTTAATTGTAATATTTTCCTTAATTAATTTAAAATTGGTAGAATTAGGGTTTATAATCATTTTTATCCCTTTTTCTTTTCTTTCATAATAATTAAATATTTCCTATTATTTATTTTTATAATTAAATGGCATGTAAATAATTAGGTTAAATATTAGGTTAAAATTTAATCTTTTCTTAATAAACTA